ACACCGTTTATCCTTACCACTCTGTACGGGGAAAGCGAGGACAAGAACCAGAAGAGTGATGTGATAGGCTATTTGGAGTGCAATGAAAGCAATTCATATTATGACCCTTAATTTGAGGAGATAAAAAATCTGATGGACTTACCGTGCACTACAAATTATTGATGTTCATCAACAAATATGACATGAGAAAACAAATTCAGCCTCATCCGGACACAGAGCCGTTCTTAATGGGAAACATTTTGATTATCTTTACGTAAACATGCTACCAAGCTTCAGCTAAAAGCCATCCAGAAAGAATGCTGCCTCCGGCAATAGCAACACTTGACTCATAAATGTCTCCACTGACCAATTACCAGCAAAACGTACCTGATAAATTCTTCGTTCATTTAGAACAATCAACTGTGATGATTGCATTCATGCCTTTACTAAAAATATTTCCATCACTCTATGGCCAAGTATTTCTAGAAGTTTTGAATTTTAGAGTAACACCAGTGCTTTTAAATACCAAAACTTTTTGCCAATTAAACTGATTTCGCGACTTGTAAATCATTTCCACTCTAATGGTGAAAGCTATCTTGTAGTCTTATTTCCTTAATTTTCAGCCCTACATTTAAATACACCAACGCTTTGGCGTAGAAACTAGGAAAGTGACCTAAGGGTGAAATTTACAAAACGTTCTAAGCAATTTCGCCCAGTTTGAAAAGACATCGGACACTACTAACAAGAACACAAGACTCCTGGGACTCCTTGGAACCCAACTCCCAGCACATTCAATGGACAGCTGGTCTGATACCCTGTATCCAGTAACGCACACCTTTGGTATGCAGCACGGTAGAAGAGTCGGTAGGTGAAGCTTAATCTGGCAATGATGAAATTCGCATGACACCACAACATCGAGTGGATTTAGGGGTCTTAAAATTGCAAATATCAAGCAACTAGATTTCTTACAGCAGTAGTCTTTGACCAATATAAAGCGGACACAAAACGTCACGCTCATCTACCAAACGCAGGTCTCTTAAAGGCATCTGTTTTTACAGCTTCTTAGTCTCCTTGGTATTAAAGGCTTTCAAAAGTCTTTCTGTCAAAAGTTTTTATTCTTTTACTGTTCTTGCTTCCTGTGCGTTTTTCCTACGTGAGATGTTTTATTTACGCAAATTATATTTAGCTTGACGTCATTAGTTTTCAAACGTAGGTTAGAAAACAGCTGAAAGAGTGGTCCAAGTTGTGCAAAAACTCAAAAAGCCAGCAAAATTTAAACATAAACTCCTTTAACCTGTGAGGCATAAAAAGCACGGTCTACTAACTTGCACACACGGATGTAGTGAATTCTGTTATCTACTCCCTTGAGATGATTTGATATGTCAAATTTTTACAAGTTTCACAAAATGAACGTGCACATGTATATTGGAATTGTGCATGATGGTGGTTGACGAGAATTTGTACTTTTGTGATAAAGAATAGAGATCAATTGTAGCTCGGTTAAGTAGAATTTTATGTACTGGTGAGGCAGCTAAAATCTCTCTACAATTACAACCTGAAATTATAGCCCCAGGAAGGGCTGCAACAAAACAACTCTAAGTGGAGTCATTTGAGGGGTCATTCTTAACCATTTAGAGTCTAGTGAGGAGAAAACTGCTGATGTTTTAGGCACTTATCTGTTGGATGGGAGTTTATCCAACGAGTGCGGCTGACGGTCTATGGACAGCAAAAGCGCTCACGCCCAATCTGTATCAAGCTGGCCTTCATAAAGGTATCAACACTTTTTTAAAAGTAACAACCGTGCTGATAAAAGCCTTAAAAAACCACCAAATGCACTGTTTTGGCAGTTTTTGTTAAATATGGCGGCCAAGCTGCTTGTTGGCCATAATAGTTAGACCAAAAACGGCAAGCTAAAATAATGTACAAGGAACGACATGGCTAGTTTATTGGTACATTTGGATGACCATATAAGCGTCAGCAGAATAAATGTAAATAAATTGAAAAAGTGCCATGGACTAAAAATAGAATCGATACTTTGTACTGAAGACAAATCAGGAAGAGATAACGGTCAAGTTATTCGCCAACTTCGTTGGTCCAACAAGATACCAACGCCTATTCATAAGACCAAAAACGTTTCGGTGGGTAACATTACCTTGAATAAGTATTTTGCTCAAGTTTCAATAACAGGCCAAGCTGTTCTACTATATGACATGTCCGCATTCTGGGAGACCCCAGGAAAGACACAGAATGACGATTGGGCATCTGCATACTTCATTGTTCCATTGGCTTGCATCAGTTTAATCCTTAATACCATGCGCGGTATTGGCCATCTTCCTAGCGCTTTTTCTGCTTACACATCTTGTATTTTTCAACGTGGCCGTCTTAAGGCTTTTCTTATCACGCAACGTTAACTCCTACACGGCGTTGACTGTGACGCGGTCTGTGAGTGCTCAGAAGAAGTGAGCACGAGTTGTAGATGAAGATGGTTGCTTAAATGTCACCGGAATCGTTTTTGTAAGTCTTTTAAAGATGCAACGTTTCAAAGATTTTAATGGCTTAGTCACCGGGCTTTTTAAACGACCGATGCTTAACTGTGTGACAAGAAAAGAGGCTAATTCACTGTCCTCTATGGTAGGAGATAATGTATCAGATGGGTCCTTGCTTTGCCAAGTTCCTTTTAATCTGTAGGTTTACCTGACATTCGGAACAGTTAGCACAGCATGTTTTTGGTTGCTAATAATCCGAAGATCTAACGATCGGTCGTCACTCCTGCCGGCTCCATTTAGCCTCAATAGGAGATGACCACCATCAAAAAAGAAGTTGATTTGCTTCGATCCACAATCAACTAAAATATATCTTAGTACTTTGGCACAAACAATACTGAAGGACAGTGAGTCTATTCGCAGCACCCATGGAATCGACTTTGGGAGAGTTTATGGAGCAAACTCGTGGTACTCAAAACTTCTCATGAAGATCGGTTACTGTTTGTTATATGTGCTTAGGAGTAAGTTCACGTGTCGGAATGTTAATTCATTGCAGAGGATAGTGACAGCTTCTCAACTCTTGACTATATCGTCCAGCCAGGCGGTTTGTCAGCCATAAACCGTCTGTTCAACTACATTTATTTTAGAGGCCACAATCTTTTTCAATTGTGGATAAAAGAAATAAGGACAAAACGGCTACACTTTGTAGTTGTGAAAATTGATGTCAAACAGTCCTTTTTGTCTGTTATGGCAGAATATAAGGACCCTACGCAGTGAAGGTGGTAGCATTGATGTGGGACTGCCGCTGTCTCTGAGACTACTCAGAATAATTAACCGTCTATTTATCACGTCTTCGTTGTCTGCAATCAAGGAGACGGCGCTTGCTTAGGTTACAAAATAGATTGGCTTCGATAGTTTGTTGTTCAGGCATGGACTAACTGCCTCTTGCTCATCTCTATCAGATAGAAGGCTGAGTAAAGAGCGCTGCATGTGGCAAACGACCGTCAGTTATAAGCAGAATATAACTCAGTTAGCGTAAACCATGCGTTGGGGCTAACTGGTCTATTTGGAACGACTTATATTTCCCGGTAACCGTCTGGTAAACCACAGCAGCACCGATATGATGTTCCCATAAGGTTCGTGCAATGCTTTGGAAGTGTTAATGGTCAAACATCTTGAAATTGAGGGTCCCTTGTCGGTAGCTGTAATGCTTCAAATTGGCAAAATATGATAGATGGTACTGCTACATTGTAAACTCCAACCTTGATGGCCTATATGACATAATATTGGCGATACAAACGTTGAAGGTTGGAAATCTGCCCTGTCCTGCCAATCGGAAAACTAATTTCATCTCTCACTAGCTCACCGGGACTGGCGCAACTTCCTAGAAAGAACAAAACGTCCATCACACTGATAAGTCTGTCTCCAAGAAATAGTTAGCTGCTCTGCTAAAACGCGCCTCTGATATCTTTCGTACATAGACTTGTTGTTCGTAGCTACTCATGCTCCTGGAAGATTGACTTTTAGCGTGTGTTACCGTACTTCATGACGGACCTGGTCGCAGAAATTGGACCTTGTAAATGCATTTTGTTCCTTATAATGGGAACTAACCACCGATCAAGTTCGTGGCGCACTAATATCAAATCCTATTAAAAGTGACACTTTTCCAAGATACTTTTGAAAACTCTGTTAAAAGTCCTATTCAGAGAAGGAAACAAGTAGATGATAACCTGAACTGTGTAAAAGTAAACCACATCGAGTGGAAATGCCCGACGCATTTCGTGAGAATTTTTGACATCATCAACAAGCTTCTGTTTCAGTCCTTGTCTCTGCCTAATTTTAAAATGACCATCAGTCTTCAATTCATAATGTGTTACTGACTTCCAAGACCCATCTACGTTATCGACTATTATTCTTGGTATTCGGTAACCCTCATTAGCAGAATAATACAGAACTTGTTCCGTTGGTTTCTTCCTAAAATGTAAGAACTACATAATAGGCCGTGCCTGGCATAGATCAGTTCCGTGTATTCTAGAGAGGCAAGTCCTCTGTTCAGGACGACTCAGTAAGAACACGTAAACGCGCAAAATACTGTACCATAAAGCAGCATATTACTTCATCCAAGCTGTTTTGACTTTGTACCCCATAAGAAATCAAATTCACATAGGAGCTTGGAGGGCAGTGAGTTGCAAAGCACTACTTAAGAAGCTCGCTGAAATTTTATTTTAAATTTAATTTCAGTACATGGACGCTCTGCAGCACCCCGGTCTATAGCAGAAACCTCAAAGTGAACTGGTGCTTGCGATGAATTGAACAATTGTACTCCCAATATGCTCACTACAAAGATTCCTTGCCAGCAGTTCAGTTCTCGTGCTGAAATAATACCGCAAAGCCGACACCTGCCATCTAAAGACGCACAACTAACGCTACATGTTATAGATAGCACAATTTGTAGGTGCTTGTATGTGATTCTGATGAAAGACATCACCACTCGTGATAGTTGCGTAAGTGCAAGTTTTTAAGTGACTCATAAAATAGGAGTGTTCCAAAGAAGATGAAGATCTTCACATCTTGATATCTGAATTTGAGGAACTGGCTGAGAAATACGACATATTTGCATGTAATAACTGCACTCAACCCACAATAGAAGCAAAGCACAAGAAACGTGGCAAAACCCAAGAAAAAGAATTTGAGGATGCGTTTGGTCAGCAGGATTGTGATTCAATAAAGCTTTCTGGAAACTCTTCACAAGGGTTTGAAGTTGAAGCCACGCATCAGCGATTCGCAAATCAAGAGGTGCAAACGAATTCTGTCGGAAAATCCGAAGTAAGTAACAAGTGGCGGCTGACTGTTGCTTAAATGTATCTTGTTTTAGTATCTGCTGCTGAGTTTAGGTCAGCATATTACTCATAGTTCCATATCAGTAGTGCACTGCTTGAGAAACCGCAAATCTCCAAAGCATGGCTAAATTGAATGATAAAAATAGTGGTAGGTGCAATATTTTTTGCTCCTACATATTCTTGAAAAAGCCTGAGGAGCCGAAAATGAACGCTTTAAACATCCAACCTCAGCAAGGTTTTTGAATCAGATTAGCACATTAACCTTCTCCGTTGTCCAACTCATTGTAAGACAGCGTTCTATGAGTTGCGGCCAAGCACAGAGGATAAAATTTCCATCAGACGCCAGATGGTTACCAAAAATATTCTCATAAATCCCAAATTTTGATGACTACATTTGTCTCGTTCTATGTACCCATCTACAATAGTCTACTTATTTTATGCTCTTAGCGTCTGAACTTGCAATCAAAGGAATACCCTTGCAGTATGGCTCAAACCTCGTACATGCAGTGCTGGTGACCCCAATAATGAAGAATCGCATGTCTTCTGAGTTTTTGGTTTTGACAGAGCAAAACCATGAAGTAATAATAATGATATTACTAAGTCAACATTCATCCGAATTATCCTTATTTAAGTGTCATGCCGCCTGAAGAAAACAAGACCATTTAAACAAGAGGCCACGAAGCTCCGTGCAGCTGTTTCATAGTTGTTTGAAATCACCACCAGTGAGCACCTTTTGAAGAGTTCGAACCCGCAAGATTCTTAGCACCAGTGGAACACTTTACAATTTGGTCGCATGTAACTGGTTGGTCTTATGGTCACTACATACTTGGACAGTATGTGGTTCCATCGTCAGGCGCGTGGCTAGTATCACACTGTACGTTGCCTGAATTCTCCAGAGATCACTTTTGAAGTACGAAGCCTGAGTAAACTGTAGAGCCGGTTGTTCGTAGTTATATATATATATATATA